AGTTGATGACTTCAGGGCACTCCTATAAGAAATGTGGCATGACAGAGGCTCTGGGCGGCTCAGAGGAGCATACTGGGGGAAAATCTGGGCACTGAAAACAATCAGTTAGGAAGTAAATAAGACTAGTGAGATGAAGTTTTAGGAAAATGTTAACTAATTATTTTAACTTATATTTTTATGTATTCATTAGAGTGATACATGATAAAAGTCTGTATCTGTATTTAGATTTGATAATCTAAATAATTGTCAAAGATTTTTAAAAATATGTTTAAATTCAAATTACTAGTGAAAAGAAAATATTGTATCCTATTTAAATGGTAGCTTTTTTTTTTCTTAGTGATACATACAAAAAATTGTGGTATACCATGAAAGGAGGCCTAGACTCAACGTAATACGGCTATTAGCCCCAGGTACATAATAGCACGAACCCCTGGCTTAACAAAACCTAAGGCATTTACTACATAAATTGTCATGGGACAAGGCAGGCTGGGGTCACAGGCGGTAAAATAATTTACCAAAGACAAAGGATGAAAATAGAAAAGGAATTTAACAGGTACTCTGTCATAGACAATAGCTGGCCACACAGACGAAAGGTGCCTGTGCGCACCCTGAGAGTCAGTTACTGAGGCCTTTTATTGAGGGGTTACGTCAGGTATCACCCAAGTGTTTGATTGGTGGTAGGTGAGGTAAGAAGTTTAGGGTCTGTGAAGGGGCGGTGGGATTTATGACTCTGCGAAGGTGGAGAGGTGGGCGGAAAGGAGCCAGCCTGAGCTACTGTGAGATCAGGAATGACCTAGGGTATTAGTTTCTTAGGACAAACACGCCCAGTAGAGAGTGTACTTTATTTGTTGAGCGATCACAGGCAGACATCTGAGAGCCCAGGAATGGGGGTCTGTGGACTCTGAAGGATGCCAGTTGGCCCCACATAAAAGGTATTACTTTGGCTACCTGAGGCTCTTTGAGAAGATTATATTAATCTAAAGTGATTTAATTATATTACAAAGTTATATTATTTGGAATGTTTTCAAATTACTTAAAATTAAAAGATCTTAGTATAATATTGGTTCTGTAAATATCCTCACAAATATGTTACTTATAAAAGTTAATGCTATAACATGAAAAAATGCTCAGCATTGCTAATTGTCAGAGAAATGTAGGTCAAAACTACAATGAGATATCACCTCACACCAGCCAGAATGACCATCATTGAAAAGTCTACAAATGATAGATGCTGGAGAAGGTGTGGAGAAAAGGGAACCCTCCTACACTGTTGGTGGGAGCGTAGATTGGGGTAGCCACTATAGAGGACAGTATGGAGGTTTCTTAAAAATAACTGAAAATAGAGTTAACATGTGATCCAGCAATCCCACTGCTGGGTGTATATCCAGAGAAAAATAAAACTCAAAAAGACACATGCACCCCAATGTTCATAGCACTATTTACAATAGCCAAGACATGGAAGCAACCCAAATGTCCACCAACAGATGACTGGATAAAGAAGATATGGTACATATATACAATGGAACACTACTCAGCCGAAAAATACTATCACTTATATGGGGAATAAAATGAACTGCTTATTATTTATAACTTAGATGACTGATTTCCTGAATATGTGTAAGCACATTTGATTGTCCTTTATGATTGGATTACCTCATTCTGTTAATTCTTATTACGTGTTTGGCTTTATTCCTTTGATAATTATGTATGTTTAAAAAGCTAAAGCTCTAATCTGTTCTTAGAAACAATGATCAGTACATGTATGTAAACTAAAAAAAGTGCAGTATACCGTTTATATATATTTACATGCAATATAATATATATGTGCAAACTGTAATAATTCTACCTAATAAAACTGAAAAAGGAAAAAAAAAGTTAATGCTACAGAATCATAATGGTAGCATCAAGTAGGAAGTTGCCTGGCAGGTGGGAGAGTTTTTTTGGTTTTGTTTTCTAGTTTTTTTTTTTTTCCTGTTTCTTCTCACTCTGCAATGAGAAGTGACCACCTGTCTTTTAAGGTTGGACTATTTTTACTTTTCTTGGTTTTTACTCTTCTGGGTTAAACAAAGTAACATGCTAAATATTGATTCTGAACTGGAATAATCATCTAATTTTTATTTAACAAGTTTTGGGGTAACAATCTGATATAAGTCTTTTGTGACAATGTAATCCTCTTCCCATTGTGCATGCCTAGGGAGCTACAAGCACTTTGAGCCTAGGAAGCACAAAGGCCTCGCATTTCCTTGGGATTAGCATCATACAAATGCAAATTAAGGACAATAGAAGACTGTGTCCATCCTTGTATCTGTCATTGCTCTGTTCTGTGCTTCCTGTGGGTAGCAAAGCAATCCATTGTTTTTAAAACACAAGTTTGACTTAGCTGCTGATTTTTTCATTGGCTACCTGGAGGAGAAAAAAAGGAATTTTTTTCCTAGAGAATCTACCTCCCTGGATCCCATTCAATTATTTTTATTAGATAGCATGAAATCTTACAGGAACTGTTCACAAGTTTCTAATTGTAGAATTTGTACTTGAGCTATGCGGTTTTATTTTGCTCCTTGCTTCTTCAGTCAATGCTTCACGTGAACCTTTGTGGTAAGTCTGAAGACCTGTATATGCCCTCTTCAAACTCTTTGGCTCTTTAGCACAGTATATAGATACGCTGGAAATTAGTTCTTTTCTGTGGCATAATTCTTCCAAGGGAGTTGAAATGCTTTGCGAACATTTCTCATTTATCCTTCAATCCATCAGCAAGCAATGTTATGTGAATCCCTTCCTTCTTATGTATTGTCTTTTGGTGATTATCATGAATTATGCCTGTACAGTGGCTCTGGTTGGAGAGGGGAGGAAACATAGGGGCTGGGAAGAGGCGGTCAAGAGGGGAAGCTGCCTGCCTGAAGGACAGAATTGACCTCAGGTGGTGGCAGAATGTTTCCCACATCTTCATCGTTTATGCATGCTTAGAAATAGCAACACTTTGTGTAATTATTATTTAGTTAATATTCAGTAGGATTTGTAAACCCTTCACATCGCCATGGATTTATTTTATTTCAGAGTGATAGTGACTTTATGGCCCAATTACCATCAGTGTGACTTATGGCACTATTTATGGGAGGGAGTGGGGAGCAGGAAGACAAGACAGATTGATCATACGTATTACCATCAGCAGGATGACCGCCACACACTCCTGCCCAAGGAAGAGGGGCAGATAGAATTTTTCCGTTCTGTTTCTCAGATCACTGAAGGGTGATTGTGCTGTATTTTAGTAGACAAACGTGTCAAATGTCTGAATGAAAGAGATAATGAAATAGTGGTGGTAGAGTAGTCAATATTTTGGAGGTAATGAATATTTTCAATTTAAAAGATGTCAAACCTCAAAGACGCTGACGAATGGCTACCTAACTCCAGATGCTGCCACCCTCAAATTACAGGAATGTTGAAAGGAGACTGAGTATCTGACCCCAGAAATGGACCTGAGAGGCCGGCTTCCATTAGAGCCAGGTTCCTGGAAGCCAGACAACTCTTATATTTATAGGCGCATGCGGCGCAGCCAGCCGTGACCCACGGGAAGCAGCAGCGCAGCACAGCCAGGGGAACACTGACCCTCGGGCCCGCCGCCTACCTGGAGCGTTTCCGCAGCGCCTGGTTCAGAACCACCGGGGCGGACAGCTCCCCGGCGCCGGGCTCAGGGCGCGCACTGCGGAAGGGGACGTAAGCGCGGAGGGTCCGCGCACCGCCAGCGGGCCCCGGAGGCAGGAAGAGCACACTGCGCCCCCCTCACACCCGGTGGGTCCCTC